TTGCTGACTTCACTTCTCCTCGTCAGCCTCCCCCCCAACTCCATCCACAGAGCGGCAGCTTGCATGCGTTTGTACTCACAACCAAGTCACATGCCACTGTGTCTATGTACCACCGTTTCTTTCTTCATCCACTGATCTGTTCTTCAACACTTGGGTCCTTTCCAGATGTTGACTCTTGGGAACATAAAAGTCCAAGTATCATTTTGAAATGCAATTCTTGGGCCCTTTGGGTAGATGCCAAGAAGCAGAAATTGCTGGGGCCTTTGGAAGCTCAAATCGTAGTCTTTTGAGAGACGTGCATATTATTTCTGAAGAAATGGAACCTGGTCACGTTCCCTGCAGCAAAGGATGAAGTTCTCCCCGTCCTCCCCATCCACACCAACACTAGTTGGTCTTGTTCTTTTTTTATTATGTTTTTGATCATTTGAATTTTTTTATTTATTGTTTTAAAAAATTTAGGCTCTGTGACTTACATTTCCGTTGATGATAGTGTTTCATGAATGACACATTCCAACACCACCCCCTCAGCCACTATCCACTTCCTTTCATCATTGTTCCATACCTTCCCACTCTAATCACCCGATTCCCCTTCTCTCCATGTTGAGCTTTCTACTGCAATCCAATTCTGAGTTTCTCTTGGGCATTTGTCATTCTCCAACTGTGTTTCTGTATATCACACATACGTCTCTTCCTCTCCTTTGACTGACTTCACTTCAGTTTTGGTACTCTCCAAATCCATCCACATAGCAGTAAATTGCATGACTTCATCTTCTCTTAGAGCCGAGTAGCATTCATTCCATTTTGTATATTAACCAGAGTTTCTTAACCCAGATCTGGCAGTTGGGAAGTGTTCTTTTTTTTTTTTAAATGTTTGTCAGATTCACTGGTGTGAGGTGACATCTCACCGTTGTTTTGATGTGCATGATCACATGATAAGGGATGCAGAGCATTTTTTTTTTCATATATCTGTTGAACATCTGTACGTCTTCTTGTCTATTCATCTTTTCTCACCATTTTTTTTTTGGATGGGTTTATTTGTTCTTCTTAGGTTTTACAAACGCTTTATGTATCTTGGATTTTAACCCTTTGTCAGATGAGCAATGGGCGAATATTTCCTTCCATTTGGTGGGGTGTCTTTTTATTCTGGTCGTCTTTCTGGAAGCGAGGTTCCTTGGAGGCAGTCTTGTTGACTGGGGGGCGGGGGGGCATGATAGTGTGTATTTTGGGGGACATTGAGCAGCATCCCTGGCTTCCTCCCACTAGATCCCAGGTAGATGGGTGGGTGTTCTGTCCGTTCTTGAAGTGTCCCCATCACCCGGTGTTCTGGGGGAGCTGGGAAGTGAATCCCCACTGATGAAAGTCACTGCCCCACCCAGCAGAGCGTTTTAAGATCCAGAGCATCAGAGACTGTGACTGACCTCAAATCAAAGTGGGTACAGGCTATAGCAACAGAAGTATCAAAAATTAAAGAGATGCCCATGGGATGCTCGATAGAACTTACAAGATGTGGTATATCCATTGGTTTTCCTAATGTGAGATAGACAGACCTTTAATTTGTGTGTGTATGTGTGTGTGTGTGTGTGTGTGTGTGTGTAGGAGGAGGATGAAGATAGACTTGTGAACAGAATGTAAAGTGTGAGATAGTCTTTAGGTACAGTGGGGAATCAAGCTTGAAAATGTACAAAATTGATCTAGGCAACATTGGGCCATCTTTTATGATCTCATTGGTTGTGACAAGGTCAAGGAATGATTTTTACTAACTCTGACATGAATTTCCTGTATCTGAACATAGCCTGACTTCAAATTGTGGATATTAACATGTTATTAATATGTTATTAGGTAGGATTAAGGATAAGGAAAAGAAATACACTACTAACAATAAACAGACTCTGCATGTCAAAAAAAAAGTGGGAATTTCAAAAAAAAAATTTTTTTTTAATTTTGGTGTCACACCCAGCCCAGCGATGCTCAGGGGTTCCTCCTGGCAGTGCTCGGGGGAACCATATGGGATGCCAGGGATTGAACTCGGGTCAGCCACATCCAAGGCAAATGCCCTACCTGCTGCACTATCGTTCCAGGCCCTTGGGGGGCGGCGGGGGGAGGGTTTGATGTCCCACCAGCTGTAAGAAGTGCAGAGTTGTGCATACTGAGAGGCAAGACAGTGAAACTCGGGCTTCAATTCCCAGCACCAGCAGCTCTTCCCGCAATGCTGGATGCAGCCTTGAGGGTCCCCTTGAGCACCATTAGGGTGGTCCAGGTATCCCCTGGAACCCATATCTTCAGACCCTTCCCTTAAATTCTAGCCTGGTTGGCGGAGAATTGTCTGTGGGTTTCCTGGACCTCTTGGTCTCCAAGCTAAAAAAAAAAAAAAAAAAAGTAAAAAGAAGCTCAGAGTAAGGCTCCCATCTCTTCCTTGAGCCTGAGTTTGCCCTGAGTTTCCCCATAGCTCCTTGGCCCTGAGACTTAAACGGCTGCACCGTGGAAGCGCCTGAAGGTGGTCATTCCCTCGGGAAATACTAACGCTTTGCTCAGTTTACTTCCCTTCTCTTCCGTCTTGACTTCCCAGGGACCAGAGCTGGGGAGAGGCTGTAGGGCCCTGGTGGGGTTTGCACCCCAAGTTGAGTGTGAGCTCAGAGCTCAGAGCAGGAGGGTTCAGTGGCAGAGTCCTGGCTGCTCAGGCTCTGGGAGGTCAGCCTTAAGGGCTGGGCACTGCAGGGGAGAGTTTCTGAGAATTCTGTGGGTGTGCCCCAGTTGCCAAGGAAGTGAGGATGTGGAAGAAGCCGAGGTCGGTGACCCTGAGAGGGAGTGGGATGGAGCCTGCAGAAGCAGAAGTCGGGCAGTGTGTGTCCCAGGCTGAGGAGGCCGTAGACTTGGGCGGTGGGACTGACTCCCTGGCTGAAGTCGGCACCTGGTGGAGGAGGCTGGGCGTCAAAGGTCATTCGTTGCCTCGGGAACCAGCCTGTCGATCATCACTGTGCCCAGTTTGCTTGGGTAGTGGTGGGGTGCTCCCACACAGTGCGCAGGGAGATGGGGACTCTCCCCTAGGTGATACCCAGAACTCCATTCTGAAGAGACTGAGCAGGAATAACAGAGAAGCCGGAAGGATGTGGGTCATTCTGAAAACCAGGCGGACCCTCGCCAGGGCCCTCCAGGGCTCTCAGTATTGGGTGTAGGGCCCCGGGGAGGGCGGTCTCACGTGATGGTGGTCCCAGGACTGAGCAGGTCTTGTGGGGCCAAGAGGCCTGATTCCGTCCCTAGAAGGCTGGGCCTCAGGCTCACAGACTTCCTCTGAGTCTGAGCTTTGCTCTCTTGCCCCCTATGTACCTCGATCAAGGCATTCCCCCCAAATGTTTGTCTGTGACTGGGATCTTTTTAAAAAGACCCCATTTTCTCTATATTTCATTATTCACATATAGAAAAGCCATAGTTTCCTGTGCATTGGTTTTCTAGCCTGCCTCTTTACTGTCTGTTATTCTAGGAAAATTTTTTTGTAGTGTTTTTTACGTTTTGTTTTGTTTGTTTTGATTTTTGAGTCACACCCGGCGATGCTCAGGGGTTACTCCTGCCTCTGCACTCAGGAATTACTCCTGGCAGTGCTCGGGGGACGCTATGGGATGCTGGGAATCGAACCTAGGTCGGACACGTGAAAGGCAAACGCCCTTCCCGCTGTGCTATCACTCCAGCCCCTATAGAGTCTTTAGGGTTTTCTAGATGAGGTATCGTGTCATCTGCAAAAAAAAAAATGAGAGTTTGGCTTCCTCTTTTCTGCTCTAGGTGTTATGCATGCAAAACCCTGCCATTATAATGTTGTCAATCGGAGTGCCTAAAGGAAGATTCTGGGAAAAAGAAGTTTGTTGACAGCCGAGGGGACCCTCCTCTGCTGGGGGCGTCCTTCCCCAGGAGCCTCAGGACCCTGCAGACAAGTGTTCTCCTCAGCTGAAAATCGAGTGCAGCCCCTCTGAGCACCCTGTTTGGGAAGCCCACTCGCCAAGGCATTCCTGATGTTTGAAATGCAACGTGAAGGCCCGTATTCCATTCTGGGGGTCTGCCTCTTAGCCCATGGCATCCTGGATGAGGGATGGAGCCAGGAACTCCTACAAGAGTCCTGGGGTCGGGGCCGGAGTGATAGCACAGCGGGGAGGGTGTTTGCCTTGCACGCTGTCGACCCGGGTTTGATCCCCGGCATCCCATATGGTCCCCCGAGCACCACCAGGAGTAATTCCTGAGTGCAGAGTCAGGAGTAACCCCTGTGCATCGCCGGGTGTGACCCAAAAAGAAAAAAAAATGTTGGGAAGAAGCCAGAGCCGTTACCTGGAGGGTTAAGGTCAATATCTTGGGGGTTGGAGTGATAGCACAGTGAGCAGGGCATTTGCCTTGCCCGTGGCCCACCGGGTTCCATTCCCAGTATCCCATATGGTCCCCTGAGCACCGCCAGGAGTAATTCCTGAGAGCAGAGCCAGAAGTAACCTCTGAGAATTGCTGGGTGACCCAAAAAGCAAATTTAAAAAAGAAAAAGAATCCCAAGGTCTTTTTGGCCCATGACTAGTAGACCCAAACCCAATCCACCTCAGAACCTCTCGTTTTCTTGTGCCAACAGCTCACACGCTCTCCAGCTTTTCCCTGTTCCTTTCCTTTGTCTCTTTCTTCTCTCTCCTTCGTCCTCGCCTGCGCCTCCCCACTCGGCGTGGGCGAGGGGGGAGGGAGTAGGGGTCCCCACTGTTGGCCTGTTTGTGCCAATCACCATTTTTCTCATCCCCAAGATGTCATTGAAAAGCGCCTTAATGGTTTCCAAATGATGATAGCCCCATAAACGATTAAAAAGGCCTTAATAAAACTGTCTCGAGTTATTTTCCACAGCTGCCGACGGCGCCCTGGGTTCTCTCCCAGTCGCAGGCCCCAGTGAGGGCTGGCTTCCTTCTCTGTGGGGCAGGTGGAGGGGATGCCCTTTGGGCCTCCGCCATGTGTGTGACTCACCTGTTCTCTTCCCTTCCCGCCCCCAGACCATCCACGTGGCCATCGTCTGTGCGGGATACAACGCCAGTCGTGACGTCGTCACCTTGGTCAAATCGGTCCTGTTTCACAGGTAAGAGGGACAGGGACAGTGTGGGGCTTTCCTCGGGGCAGGCTGGATAAGAGTGGGCAGCCTCCTCCCTCACATACACCCCGGTACTTCCGTACCACCTTGTCTAAAACTTGGGCTAACATGTTCTGGGCATTGAGTAAGAGGCCGTGGGGACTGTCTGGTGATGTGTCAAATGACAGTGCTTCTCCCCAGAGGGACTTCCAAGAGCACCCTAAATTCTTTATTCTTATTCTTTTATAAAAAATAAATGTACTATAGGGGTCGGAGTGATAGTATAGCAGGGAAGGCATTTGCCTTGTACACAGATGACTCTGGTTCCATCCCTGGCATCCCATAGGGTCCCCCGAGCACTGCCAGGAGTAATTCCTGAGTGCAAAGCCAGGAGTAATCCCTGAGCATCGCCAGGTGTGACCCAAAACGCCAAAAAAAAAAAAAGAAGTATTTTATTTATTAGACTTTAAGAAGTTTCAATAGTGTCAGCATTTACGGTGTTGCTGTACAAACTCATTACAGTTGGCACACCACCAACGGTGCCGAAATGTGTCATTCAGAAATTACTCGCACATGCTGTCGACTGCAAAGCCACAAGGCCCCTGATTTCAGGGCAACAACCTTGCCCAACCTTGGTGTAACCATGATTGTGACTCTCTATCTAATGATACCCTTGCTGTACTGTAATCCTTATGTCATTTCTGTACTTGGCATCACTATACAAGATCGCTTGTATACTGATGTTATATTGGAACCAAAGTGCCGCGGCTGGACTGTCTGTCTCATGCTAGATCAGAAGTCTCATACCCACAGATGCGCTGTATAAGTGCTCCTGGAACGCCTGGTCCCAGGCTGGTAGCTTCCAGTACTTTGTCTAGCTGTGGTCTCCGCAGTAAATAGGCCTCCTCGTTTTCCTGCCAAATCGCTGTCTCATAGTGCTTGGTTAAGTGAAATTCTGCTATAACAACACCAATACCCCCCAAGTACCCACGGCCCTCCACCCCTACTGTCTTTCTGCCTCTCAGAGCCTGGGCTTCTTTGTCCCGCGCCTGGTTGTTGCTTCTGGGTTCTGCTGTGAAGGGTTGAAGTTGTTTAGTCCCATCTTTGTATTCTACCAACTACTGAGATCACCCAGTCCTGGACCCTTCCCCTCTGACTTTCTTCCCTGAACTCGGCATCTTCCGGTTCCAGCCACTCTGCAGAGGGTTGCGTGATCTCATCATTCCTCACAGCGGAGGGGTGTTCCCTTGTGTATCTGCCACAACCTTTTTTTTTTTCCACACTCAGTGTTGCACAGGGGTTACTCCTGGCTCTTCACTCAGGAATTACTCCTGGTGGTGCTCGGGGGACCCTGTGGGATGCTGGGAATCAAATCTGGGTCAGGCACATACAAGGCAAATGCCCTACCCATTGTGCTATCGTTCCAGACCCTTGTCGCAACCTCTTGGTGCGTTTATTTATGGTCGGGCATGTGACTTGTTTCCATATATCTACTGTGCTATGGGCTGCCATGGACAGGGTGTCTTCACCACTCTTACCTGGCAGTTCCCAGACCTTTCTGTTTTAATATCTCTGTTGGTGGGTGGTGTAAAAGACTGGATGCCCAGGGCTGGAGCAATAGCACAGCAGGTAGGGCATTTGCCTTACACGCGGCTGACCTGGGTTCGATTACCAACATCCCATAAGGTCCCCTGAGCACCGCCAGGAGTAATTCCTGAGTGCATCAGCCAGGAGTAACCCCTGTGCATCACCGGATGTGATCCAAAAAGAAAAAAAAAGAATCACACGTGTACCTGTGGTGCTGGGCTTCCTCTGTCGTTCTGTTCATCACCTTGCATTTTATTTCTTGTTACTCATGTTTTTTCCTTTCTTCTGAAGTCAAATGTGGGCCTTCTGGGAATAGAAGCCAGACCCTATTTGTCTGTTTTCCTAATACCTCAGCAATGTGCTCCCCCTGCATTCCTGAAGGCCCAGAAAGTGGTTACTCCTTTAGCAAGGGAATCTAGGAGAATTCCCTGATAAATAACCTGAAGACATACCTCGCCCATCAAGTCCCACGCGGATCTTGTTTGGTTTCACGTTCTTACCACGATCTAGCTGAGAGAGTTTGGGGAGATCATTTGAACTCCTTTTTGAACTTAGCTCTTCCATCAGTTCGCTTTTCCTGCAAAGCCACACCCCAAACGTTTTTGGTTGAGTATGACGCTGGAGCGATAGCACAGCGGGTAGGGTGTCTGCCTTGCACGCAGCCAACATGGCTGACCCGAGTTCGATTCCTCCGCCCCTCTCGGAGAGCCCGGCAAGCTACCGAGAGAATTTGATATGCCAGACACAGTAGCAACAAAGTCTCCAATGGAGACGTTACTGGGCCCGCTCGAGCAAATTGATGATCAATGGGAGGGCCTTTACTTTTACTTTGCTTTTATGACACTGATTTTAGAGTTCGTCCGCTGGTAGGGACCTCTCCTCTTGGCCATTTCTTTGACTGTGACCCCAAGACCCTGTCCATAGCCCCTTCCCATGTTTGAGACACCTGTCACAGTTACTGGCTCATTCCTTGTCTCCTATAAAGGTTTCCTCCCTGACCAAGTTTTCAAAAAAAAATCTGCTTTTAATTTATTTGTTTATTGTGGGGGGTGGGCTGGAGTGATAGCACAGTGGGTGTTTGCTTTGTACACGGTCAACCCGGCCGAACCAGATTCGATTCCTCCATCCCTCTCGGAGAGCCCAGCAAGCTACTGAGAGTATCTTGCCCGCACAGCAAAGCCTGGCAAGCTACCGGTAAAGTATTTGGTTACTGTGTAAATACAGTAACAAGTGTCACAATGGAGACGTTACTGGGCTCCCTCGAGCAAATCCATGAACAATGGGAGGACAGTGACAGTGACAGTGATTGTGGGGTTTAGGGCCACCCCTGGTGGTGCTCAGGAAATACTCTTGGCTCTCCTGACGTTGCTCAGGGAACCATATGGCTCCTGGCATAGACACTGGACTTCTTGTCAGCAAAGCACACACTTAGCTTGTCAAACTCTCTCTCCCACTCTTAGGAACTAAGAGAGGGAACAACCTACAGATGTGGGACGTGCCCTGCACACAACTGACCCAGCTTCAGTCCCAGACACTGAAGCTGGTCCCCTCAGCACCATTAAAAGTGATGCCTGATGGGGCTGGAGCGATAGCACAGCAGGTAGGGTGTTTGCCTTGCACGCAGCCGACCCGGGTTCAATTCCCAGCATCCCATATGGTTCGCCAGGTACTGCCAGGAGTAATTGCTGAGTGCAGAGCTAGGAGCCTGTGCCATCCCGGGTGTGATGCCTGAATGAATGTCAGTTCATTTTATTTAAAAAAAATTGTTGTTTGGGGACCACATCAAGCAGTTCTCGGAGCTTGCTCCTGGTTCTGTGCTCAGGGATAACTCCTGGTGATGCTCAAGAAACTGTATGGTCGTACTGAGGATCAAACCTGAGTCAGCCACGTACAAGGCAAGTGCAAGACGGTCTCTCCAGGCCCATGAATGTTATTTTGCATTTGACTCAAAGGGCTTCACAATTAAAGTCATAAAATTTTTAAAAATTAAAAAAAACATTTTTTAAGTTATGCCTGAATAAAGAATTATAAACAAACAAACAAAAAGTAATGCCTGAGCACAGAGCTAGGAGAAATTCCCGAGCATTACCCAGAGCATCAATAGGGGGCTCTCCTGCCCCTACGCCTGGCTGTCCTCGCCGGGGCCCCCTTGGAGGGGGGCAGGTTAAGTTTCCCTTCCTGCCCCGAGCAGAGCCCCGGCAGCCAAAGACCTCCAGAACCAGCCACAACCATGCTGAGACCACTCTCCACACGCATGAAGGTACCGGCAGAGGAACAAAGGCATGCGGGTCCCCGGGCTGAGATTTTCAAGCCTGCTTGGATTGGGGCTGAGCATCCTCCCCTCAGATCCTCCATCTTCCAGTAGGCAGGGGTCACACCCACCAACTGCCCCCCCCCCGCCCCGCCCCGGGTGCCGTGTAATCCCATCAATGGCCAAGACCCAGAGACTATCTCATTCTTGCTTTGAACAACCTGGCAGGCTACAGAATGTAACCTGCCCACACGGCAGAGTCTGGCAAACTCCCCGTGAAGTACCCAATATGCCAAATACCAGTAACAATGAGGGGTCTCATTCTGCTAATCCTGAAAGAGCCTTGAATGTGGCACTTTTTAAAGTCTCGGGGCTAAGACGAAGGAGACGTTACTGGTTCCGACAAACAATGGGATGATTGTGATCGTGATCAATAGGTGTGGCTTCAACACCAAAATAAATAAATAAATAAATAAATAAAAATTAAAGTGTGAAATATTTACTTTTTAAACGTGTGCTTCCATGTCGTCAGGCTCTCCCATTTCCTAATCAGGGGCCAATGTTGTGGTTCTCCAAAACATCAAAAGACATGAGAACCTGTGGGCCATGTGTAGATAATATCACAGGCGCAGGAAGATTCTTCACACAAGCTGGACCAGCCATGGAAATCCTAAGAAACTTATCGAGGCCGCAGCTCGCGCCGTCCACAGGGCCAACTGGAGATGCTCGGTGTAAAAATAGCAGCCAGTTTATTATCAGCTGCTGCTCAGATGCCGGGCTTGACGGGGTCCTGCGCCCGGAGAAGAAAGCCAACGCGAAGGACGTGGCGTGACAATCCTGCAGCTCATGCCCAGCGCGGCTTCATCTTCAAGCACCGAAGGAGAACGGGGAGAGTTTCCTCCCTGCGACTCTACCAAGGAGAATTCTTCTGGGCATGGCTAATATGGGTGATAATGAGTGGAGATAGGAAGAGACTGAAGGACTTTTGAAAGACTCTCAGCTTGGAAAAGTCCAGCTATAAATAGCCGCCTCGCTTCCCCCAGCACGTGGCGAGGATTAACTCATACGTGATTCTCAAATGCTTTGACACATCAAGTCCCGTCCTAATGTTAATAATAATATAATAATAGTGCTGCAGGATGCTTCTCGGGCGTTCACTGTTAATTACAGT